GCGCGCGCCCAAGCTGGGGGAGATCGGCCGCTCGCGCAGAGGTGAGCCCGTCGGATCCCCGGATCCCCGCGCCGCGGTTTATTGCGAGCTGCCGCATTCCTAAGGAGTTCGGCACCTTAAATCTTCCTTTTTCATCAACCCGGGTCTTCCTTATTCACACCTTACTTTTTAGCAAACATACCGACTCTGTGAAGCCTAAATCCTGGTCACGTAGTTTCGGGGTGGGGTGGAATAGGAGTCGGTATCGGGCTGAAATGTCATTGCTTTTCTAATCACTCGCTGAAAGCATAATTGTGATGGGTTGACGATGTTGTTACTCTCTCGACCTGGGGCAATTTTTCAAATGTCATTTGTTTTCTTTTACATTTTAATTATTTTTAGAAACTTCATCTTGCTTGTATCCAATCGAGTATAACACAGACACTTCGACATTTGTGTCATGTGTCTTATAATTTATTGTGTTCTAATTTAAACTCCCATTACTATTACTAGTGCCTTCAGTCCAGCTAATTTGAGGCTACAGAGAAAAGGTAATCGGAGCAGTCAGTACCTCTTTACCTCTCAACTGGAGGACTATACTGAAACTGGGACCCCAGGGCACAGAATGGAGAAAGATTTCAAATAAGAGAACGTCATTCTAGTCCTATTTGGGAATTAGTAGCTCATAAATCAGAGAATGTCATCTTGCCCTTTCTTGAAAAAAGCAATAGTATCGGCCTTTCACAAGATGGCTGGGTGGCTTGTTCCATGCACCCACTTGTTTTTTGTTTTTAGCTTTGTGTAAGGGGTGGTAGGTGTGTGGAACTCACTCCTGATCCAAATTGCTGAAACAGATTCTTTAGAATCCAGCAAGAAATGGCCGGGTGAGATCTTATATTGATTAAGCTGGTGGCAGGCAGATCAATCACAAAGGGTAGAAGAGACTCCTTTTGCTTCTAAAACAAATTCTGTTTACTTATACTACAGCCTGTACAGAAGGCACAGGCTTTAGGCTTTTAGACTGCTACCATATGTTTTAAATGATTTAAATGCTTTTTCCGTTTCATTACAGTTGTAATTGAAGATGAAGACTTGGATGACATCATGAACAATAATGGCCTTTGACCCTTGACCTGACGCCTATTGCCTAGCAACCTTTCAATACCTACTGTGCCAAGGCCTTGATGAGCCAAACTGCGAGACTGTTTTTTTTTAACCATTTTAACTGTTTCTTTTTAACTCTGAATGGAAAATTATATAAAAATATCATCTATGTAAACAATGTTATATTTATAATTTCCTCAGGACAGGAACTGTTCTATTTATTCATGTACTTTAAGCACTTTTAACTACATTTGCAGTACTTGTTATCGCTAGGAAACAGGGAGAGGCCTTAATTTCAGTACTTTGTTGGCTTTTCATTTCAGAGCCTTTTAGATATTTTCTCAGTATAAAATAAGCTTTTGGAACTAAAAAAGGTGTTTCTTCTTTGTAAAGCCTTTTGCAATCTGTGCCTACTATATATTGTCTCGATAGTGTAACCAGGTGAAGTGGGGGCACAGGTG